TCTTGGCTCCCAGGAAGGCTTTGAGGTGTCTTTTTGGAGGGGGTTTCTCCTTGAGTTTTCCCTAAGGTCATCTCCCCAGGAGGCAGCTGGATGTCCTTGCAACACTCCTTTGCAAGGGAAGCAGAGTCTGAAGTTTAAACTCATTCTAGTCTTCCAGTCAAGCTGCAGCCTGACCAAGGAAGACCCAACTTCCCAACGTGCCCACGCTGGCAGCATTAAGCACCTGCACTTTAGGGGTCTGTCCTGCCTGGTGTCTCTGCCCCACCTTGCCCTGCTTCTCCAGAGCAGGTTCCTGTATCTCCAGAGCATCTCAGCAAGCACTGATGGACCTCCACCTTTTCTTTCAGTATCCATGGAAAGCATCTGTTTCTGTCTTCCTTTGCAATTGCTGATTTCTCCTAAACTTGCAGGAAAGCTATATAAATAAGTTTCCACCATCCTTCTTTGGCTGGAAGAGCCAGGGATGCTGCTGTTACATCTCCACTTTTAAGCTGTTGGCACTGTCCTTGACACATGCAAACGAGCATTGCCCCAACAATCCCACCATGGTTCTGGGAATGACAATGTCCAGGGATGTTCCCAATAAGCAACATGGACAGGGCCACCTTGTTGGAATAGAGTTTACCACCATGGACATCCCGTCCCATCAGCCTCAAGGCTGGAGATCAGGCTATGGCACATTTAATTTCTTGGCACAGACAGAACTCCTCTCCTCCGGTCTCCTGGTGCCTCGTTCAAACCAAACTCAGAAGTCCTCCAAACTCATCCTCTCTTCCACCTCTCCCAGACCACGGGGGATGTCTGACTGGAGGCACTTGCTGTGGTGGTGTCGAGCTCCCAGCTCCACAGGTGGGTTTGGGAGCTGCCTGTTTTCCCTTCCTGGCTGCCAAGGTCCACTGGCAACATCATAATTTCTCACATCTTGCTGATGCATCCCCTCTGGAAGACAAAGAGGCCTCTGCTCTTTGTTGGAGGAGCAAGCACCCTCCTCCTCACCCCAGCCAGACACCGCTGGGAGAGTTTCCCCCCCAAACCCACATGAAATGCTCCTTCTGCCAGGCACCAAATCCTTGTCTGACCCCAAACCTGCTTCTCCTCCCATGGATGCCCCCATGGATCTCCAGAAGCTGGAGGAGGCAGCAGTCATCTACTCCCACTTGGAGCTCTCTGTGGGCTCTGCAGCCTGTGGTGGGATTGCAGTGCCGTGTGTGGGGGGGCAGCCCCACAGCCCCATGGACCAAGAGTGTCTGCCAGCAGGAGATCACATCCTCTGATCACCCCAGGAGACAGACTGACCCTTCTTCCCCACCACAGGACGGGTTATGGTGTACTCCACGCTCTTGATGCTGCACAGATCCTCCAGCCAGCAGAGACCTTGCCCTTGCCCATGTCCCAAGGTGCAGGTCCTGTCCTTATCAGACAGGGAAACCCGGATGTGAACAGGCTGTGGGGACACCAGAGCAGGGGCTGGTGGCCACTCTGTCACCAGATTGATCTGAATCTCCTTCCCTCCTGCAGGTTATCAACAGGGAGTGGGAGAGAGGGAGCAGTGGAGGGGACTGTATCGAGTGGCTCCTTCCTTCTTTGGATTGTTGTCCCTTTTTTCTAATTGTTGCACAATTTTAGGGCTTTTGTAACATTTTTTGGACAAGCAGGGAAAATATGTTAACAGTGGTTTAAGGAAAGAAAATGAGATCTATCTCTCTCTCTTATATATTATATATATATAAAAAAATATATATACTTACAGGAAATCTCTATGGAAATATTTATTTAAGATGATAGCAAAAAAATATATTATAATTAAGAGTATACCGAGCTTTGTCACGTAACAAAAAATCAAGCCCCGGGGAGGGGTCGCTGCCTGTCCCCTCGTGTCTGTTCGTCCGTACGGTTGCAGCTGAAGCCTTTTTCTTCTCTTTTTGTAAGTGCACTCGAACTGTTGAGCAGTGTGACCGTGTTGGATTCAGTGGGAACTTGGGGGGGGTGGGGGAGGATTGATTTTGTTTCCTTTTCCTTTGTCTTTTCTGAACCTGCGGCTGTGAACAGAATGATCACTGCTCAAATCGGATGCTCTGTTTGGGGAGGGCGGTGCGGGGGGGACGGGGAGCGGGGTGGGTGTGGGAGGGAGGGCGAGTGTCAGTTTTATTCTTGGTGTTCAAGTGCAATAAATAGCTACCAACTTCTGAGCATGGAAACGGATGATTCTCCGTCACTGCAGTGACTCAGACCGTCTGCCACCCCCTTGTCCCTCCATCACCACACTCCTGTCCTCGAAAGCATCGAGGCTGAGACCAGGCCTTGGGCAGGGGCTGCAGGTATCCTGCTGCCTGCAGGATGCTGGGACTCTGGACGCTGCCCACCGCTGGTCTCCAGCAGCTCTGGGGTTTCAGGGAGCTCAGTGTGCTGCCCAGACCCAGCTCATTGCCATCCAGCCCTTTTCCCAGGGACAGGGCTTTGGGTGCTGCAGGTGTCTGGGAGCCCCCAGCAGGTGTTCAGGCTAGATGAGGGGTGGGGGTGCCCACTGGGCAGTTTGGGGGAGTTTAGAGGAAGTGCTGCTACAGGGTGAGGGACACAGGACCTCCAGCTAAGTCCAGGGAGGCTTTGGGGGGCTCCCAAGGGCACCTGCTGGGCTTTGCTCAAGCAGGTGGGCTGGTACCTCAGGGGACTGGAGTCAGGCTGCCACATTCCCTGTTCCTGCTCCAGGCCAGGCCCACCCCAAGGGGTTGCCCCTTTGCCCCCTGTCCCTGCCATCTGCCCCAGCAGGTGTCAGCAATGGAATGTTCCCGCTGCTGCGTCCCCCCCAGCCCCGGGCAGCCACGCATGGCACAGGACACGTGTCCTCTGGATGTGCCACTGCCCCACTGCCTTTTGCCCTTGGTGTCCTCCCTCAGTGCCAGCTTTGCCTCCCAACCACGTCCCTGGCACAGCCTCAGCTCCATCCCTCCCATCGCTCTGCAGCACAGTGCTGGGTGATGGCAGCTACTAAAGGAGAGCCCTGAGGATCCCAGGATTGCAGTGGGGATTTGGGGAATACGGTAGGACCCCATGCAGGTAGGAAAAGCTGAGAAACATCTTGGTCAGCCCAGAGCAGCTTCATGCTGTGGGAAGGCATCAGGTTCTCCTGGTTCTTCTGGTGCTTTGTGGCCAGCAGTGCCATCACGAAACCCTGGAGTCCATCACCCCCCCTGTGTGTGCCCCTCCAGGGCCAGCCCAGCCCAGGCTCCCTGGCCAGCACCCACAGCGATGGCCAGGCAACACCGTGACCTCCAGAGGCCTCCTGCTCAGTAAATAGTGTCAAGGTTAGAGCAAGGGATTCATTGGGGCCATAAATGTTTATGGCAGGCCCTCCCCGCTCCCCAGCCGCCGTGGCCTGAGCTTTCCATCAGCCACGCTTTTATGGCCGGACTCTAATGATTAACCCAGGGCCAGCAGGCGAAGGGGCTGTGCTGCCAGAGCCCCACACACCCAGAGCAGCTGGAGCTGGGGACCCCCATCGCCCCCACGGGCCACAGGAGGAGGATGGGGAAAGCCATCGGGGGTCCTGCAGGAGGAAGGAAAGGCACAGCCGTCTGGAAATGGGCTCAGCATCCCCGGACAAAAGGAGGTGAGCAGACAGGAGGAGGTGTAGGAGCCAGTCCTACCCTCTTGGAGGGGCAAAGGCAATAATTAAATCTCCTGTACTGTAGGGAAAGAAGACTGCAGCCTCCTGACAGATTTCACCCTGGAGGCTCAGGCCATGGTGCCAGACCCAGTGCACCAGGAGCACATCCACAATCCAGACACAGACCCTCATTTTTTCTTTGTCCTATAGTTTTGTTTTTACCAGGACAAAGATTTGCAGAAAAAAAGACCAGGAGGAGCTGTGCCCCTCTAGATGTGCATGGGAGGTGCTGGAAGCTCCTCTGGGTGTGCCTTTCTTCCACGCTGAAGACGCCCCAAATAACCCAGGCAGGGGCTGTGTCACACAGCTATGGGTGAGCTGATGGCACATGGCACAAGGGACACATGGCACTGGGATGGTGGGGACTGGCAGCATCAGGTCCAAACAGCCTCGTCCAGGAGGTCACCAAGACCCCAGGCCAGCAGTGTCAACAGGAGGTGGGACATGGGCTGATCTACCCCAAAATCACACGCAGACACTGAAACCCAGCCCTTCTCCTTTCCCTGGGAAAAGCAGCACTCAGGGCTGGGGCCACACCTTGGATCTCCCTTGGCAACAGACACAGGTCCTCCTTGGACACTGGGTCCAGCTGAAACCTGTCCCTGACCTCCTGCACACCTGAGGGACAGGTTACACCATCTCTTCTCTCCCTTCAAATCACCCCAACCCTGCCAGACACCACAGAGAAGAGCCACCCTGACCCACCAAGATCCTTGTGGGATCTACAGCCTGGTTTGTTTATAAAGCCTTTTCTTTTATTCTTCTACTCATTTATAACTGCTCATTTATTAGGTCAAATTGCTTTAGGAGGACACAGATTTGTGCTGGTTTTGCTGGAATACCTCTGTGGGATCAGAGCGCTCTGGCACACACTGTCCTCTGGGAATGGAGGTTGTTACAGATTCTCTCACATGTGTTTATGGGTTATTGGAGTCAAATACAGACAAACAGAGAACAGATCAACACACAGGAGCTCCTTCTCCTCCTCCCCACCTCCTGCAGCCTGGACATCCCTCCACCCTGGACAACCCTGAGAGGGGACAGCAGGGCTGGGGCTGCAGGTGGGAGTGGGACAGCTGTGACACTTCAACCAGACACTGTCACACAAACACACGGACTCATCACACAGTTTGTCACACTGAACAGAAGCGCATCAGGGGCACCAGGACAGGCAGCATCTCTGTCCTGGCAGGGCCAGGGTGGTGATGGGGACCCTAGCAGGGTCAGCAGCTCCTGACTACTCCTTGAAAGACCCCCCAAGCCGTCCTGAAGTGCTGCAGTGCAACCTGTGCAAAATGGGAGGCGAGCTCCCCCCCAGCCTACGGGACACTGTCCCTCATATCATGGACTCCTCCTCGTCCTCCTCCTCCATCTCGCGGTCCACCTCGATGGCCGTGTTCTCGTAGCTGGTGATGCCCCCGTATTTCCGCATGTGGACCATCAGGGGCTTGGGGGACTGGCTGCCAGCCAGGCTGGCCACGTACATGCCGCTGCGGTTCTCCTCCAGGGACGGGCCCCAGTCCATGGCCGGCCGGCTGGCTTGCTGCACTCGCTGTGGGGGGACAGGCACCCTGCACCCTCCACTCCCCAGGCAGCACCCCACCCTCAGCTCATCCACCTCTCCCAGGGCCCTGCTGGCCCCCAGGAACTGAAAGAACCCCCAGTGAGGATGGGATGGGTCAAAACTCATCCTGAAAACTTTTGGGAAGGTGGTTCTGTCTAAGTGTCTGGCTGTGGGCTGGGGAGGTGTCATGGTGGTGAGGGCTTGGAGGAGCGAGGGGCTTTTGTAGGGCTACAGCCCTGTGCTGTGGGGTTAGAGCCACTCAGACAAGGGGTTAGCCTTGGCCAAGGTGGCTCCTGGCCATGTCACAGTGCCCATGGCTGTGTCAAACCGGTTACAGCCAACAAGTGCTCCAGCAGGGGATTGCTGCCTGGGGAGGGCATCGAGCTCTGCTCCTCTGCTTTTAACAGCCTGGTGAGAGCAGTGAAGGGCTAGGAAAGCTTTGAGCAGCCAACTCCTGGGAGAAGCCTTTCAGGGCAGGGATCCCCTCTGGGCTGCCTGTACAGTCTGGCAGCTGCCTGCCTTGCTGTGTCATTGCTCTTGCCAAGTGGGTGCAAAGTCCCAGGTGCCCATGGCCACCCCACAGCGGGGACAATGTGCTTCCTCACAGGGCACAGCAGGCTTGTTTTGGAGTGGGAATGCACACTGGGATGTCCCTTGGGAAGCTGTTTTACTCAGTACCTGCCTGGCATCATGGGAAGCAGCACTGCTGGAAATGCTTTGGGATGTGTCATCTCTCACACCGCGTGGGTGGAAAGGGGGAGTGGGGACACATGCCTCCAGGAGAGAGGATACAGAAACTTCCAGGGATACTGACTTGGCAGGGGCTTGTGCTCCCTGCTGCATATTTCTGGGGTGCTCCCCAGCAGTGTCAGGCCCCAGTACCTCCTACCTCCCACAGCGTCCCTTCTTCTTGGAGCACAGCCACCACCATGCCCATGGGAATCATCAGGCAGGAGAGGACTCCCATGAGGATGCCCAAGACCTCTGCCCAGGTGGGGAAGCGGTAGTTGCCATACTCAGAAGGCTGGTACTTGACAATGTTATACACCAGCAGAGCCTGTGGGATGGGAAGAAAGTGAGATCATCCCAGAGGTCTCATAGTCAAAAAAGGCCTGGAGATGATGGACACCTCCCAGAGGAAGGATGGTCTCCGGGGCAGGAGATGCCAGCAGAGTAACTTATCACACTGAGAGGTCACCCAGGGGTACTGGCAGCACCGTGGTTTTCCAGCACCATCCAGCAGCTCAAGCTGAGCAGTTTACCATCATCGTTGCCGGGGATAGGACCATCCAGCAAGCTCTGAAGTAGGGGCCTGGTTTGAATCCCAGCATCATGTGGATATCTCGGCAGAACCTCTTCATGCCTGCAGGAGGGAGAGGGACTCAGAAGCTTTGATCCCTCCCCCAGAGCCTTGTTCCTGTACCAGGCTGCCCTGTGCTGATCACAAGCAGTGGTTTGTATCCTCTACAGCAGTGTCCCCCCACCCATCTGGGAGATGCAGGAGGGGGCCCAGCTGCCTGAAGGATCAGGCTCAGCACCACTTGTATCTTTGGAGAGGTGAATCAAGTGACAGCCAAGAAGAAACAGGTGGTGAAAGTGGAGTCTCACGCTCCACTGTGAGGCTGTTGGTTTCCCTACTGCTCCCTCTAAATCCCTCTCTTTGTACAGACAGCACATCCTTCCCTGTGCCCCTGTGGGGACAGGCAGCCTTACCATAGACACGTGTCACCACAAGGCAGGTAGTGATCACCACCACCATGAGACCAAAGCCAGCACTGTAGTCATCCAGCAGGACCAGCCAGTACATCCCACCCTGTGGAGACAAAGCACAGAGGCCAGCAACTCCTGGACAATCATCCCAGCAAAACTCCACCCATGTCCTCTGACTTTTGGGGACCCGGGGGAGGACAGCAGTCAGCAGCCTCAAGAGACATCACTCTCCTTATGGGGTTGGTGTAGGAATGGGAATGACACTGTGTCACTCCCCTTGGCCCTCACACCTTCTTCAAGCCCAGGCTTGTCTCTCTCTTTCACCTGGTCATGTATATGAATATATATGTGAAAACTTGTCCCCTGACCTAAGGTCTCCCTAAAATGAGCCCTAGTTGGTCCCCACAATGGGTCCATCCCCAGAGCCATACCTCTGTTGTGAGGATGAGCCCCATGAGGAAGAGGGCGATGCAGATGGCAGCTGAGAAGGAAGCTTTCTTGGGCCGCAGGTAGTAGGGGAACTCATCTGTCACTGCCGTGACAATGGTCTCCATGAATGCAAACTGCAGGAGGAGAGGGTGTCCTGAGCCCTCAGGCTGCCTGGAGTCCACGGCTGTCTCCTTGGGCTCTGTCCTTACCTGGCTGTCCAGGCCCAAGGTTAGCAGCATGAAGAAGAACAGGAATGACCAGAATGGAGAAAGGGGGAGCATTGTCATGGCCTGGGGGTACACCACAAAAGCCAGACCAGGACCTAGGGGAGGCAAAGGACAGCAGGGTGAAAAGGTGGTGACAGAGCTGGGCATGGGGGGATGGAGGAGAGGAGAGTTCAGCAGAGCAGCACCATGGCAGGGATTTGCCAGGACTCTGGCAAGATGGGCAGGAGGGGTCCTGTGGCAGAGGGTGGAGAAACAGCCTTCTCCTTGCTCACACCTTCATTGGACAGTACTTGTTACTCAATATTTACACCACAGGAACTTATCTGCCCCCTCCCCTCCCCCTGGCCAGCTGAGCATGCACCTTCATCCCTCATGCTGACACCCTCAGGCACCTTCCATCCTGGAAGGGATGCTCCTCAGCACACCCAGGCAGAGGGAGAAGGGGAAAACATCTTCGTTTGGCCTCACCTGCTTTTGCCACCTGGTTAACAGGGACCCCAAGCTCCTGGGACATGTATCCCAAAACGGAGAAGATGGCAAACCCTGCCAGGATGCTGGTGATGGCATTGCCCAGGGTCACTATGAAGGTGTCCCTGCAGAGAAGGGAGAAGATGCTCTGAACATGCTCATTCCTTCCCACACCAGTGCACGGTGGCATTGCCAGCCCCAGATGCCACAGTAAGGTGACCCAGTGCCTGTCCTCCAGGGCCTCTCATGCAAGTGCTTTCCAGTGTCAAATGGAGCATATATTTAATGGATAATACTGATAATAATAGGGGCTCCTCTAAATCTTTCTGTCCCCTGTAGATGGGGTCAGACCAGATGTCACACCCATCTCTTTCAGTGAACTACACTGGATGCTGGGCACAGGGCACACATGCACAACTCCAGCCTCAAATATCCTCAGCTTTCAGCACCTACAGCCCAAAATGTCTGAGCTGGGTGCTCTGCCTTGGTGCTTAGGAGGATCCCTCTGTTCTTCTCAAGCCTGTACAAACTGCCAGGTATCCCCTCAGTGCAAGGAGCAGAGCAAGGTGACTGTGCTGCACCATGGGCTTCTTCTGGCTTTGAACCCACCAGGTTTTCACAGCTCCCCCACAACCCATAATTTTTACAAGACAGCAGCTGACTCCCACCTGTAGATATTCTGATGGAAGGTGTTGTACGAGGCGAAGGTGAGGAGGCCCCCAAAGCCCACCCCAAGGGAGTAGAAAATCTGCAGGGCTGCCTCAATCCACACCTGGGGGAAGGAAGCAGTTCTGAGGAGAGCAGGGGTTTGGAATCCTCCACATGAGGAAGATGACATTAGAAATCTGCTTCCCCGGAGCCCTGGACACATCTTCCCCAGCACTCCAAGCATGCACAGCTATGGGATATTTGTCTTTCCTTGTTAACACTCACCACTCATAGTGGATCAGCTGGCTAATGGAAGGGCTAACAAGAATGTTTTAGGGCCAGCCCAGTGTGGCATTAAATGCCCTTGTAAAGCTGGGTGGTCTCTGGATGATCATCACTGCTGACCGCCACTCCACATGCTGGGATTTCTTGAGAACCACAAACACTCAAATCCACCATGGGCACCCATCAACCCTTCACAGGGTTGATGGACCTGGGATGACCCTGCCCTGGTCCTGCTGCTCAGGGGAGTCTTGATAGCATCCCATCCATGCAGAGCCATAAACACATGCATAGAGTGGGGAGACATGGGAATACTGGCCCAAACAAGGTGTGGGACAAAGATTTTTGGTCTAGGAGCAATCAAGAGAGCTTTAGGCTAGGGTGTGGCAGAAAAGACACCTGAGTAAGGGAACTGTCTCTGTGGCATTCAGAAGGTGGCAGGAGAAATTTCATTTTTGTGTCTTGAACAAATTGCACAACATCCTACTCACCTTGGAGGACAGCAAGTGATCAAACTGGGGAGTGAGGTAAAATTGAATACCCTTCCAGGCCCCCTCCAGGGTCACACCACGGATGAGCAGCATCACCAGGATGAGGTATGGGAAGGTGGCAGTGAAGTACACGACCTGTGGGAGAGCAGAGCCAGCAGGGAGAGCTGGGAATGAGAGCACAGCGTGAGTGCTGCCCCCACACCCTGTCCCTAGGTGGGACACATCACCCTGGGGTCCTTGGGCTGCAGCAGGGCTGGTGTGCCAGCCCTGCTGGTGTCTGGGTGTGCAAGACATCCCCCAAATATGTTATACCCAGCAGATGCTGCTTTTGGGTCTCACTTTGCCAGAGGTGCAGAGGTGCACACACTGGTGAGCATCGCTGTAGGTCCCCCCAGAGGAGAGCAGCCAGCCCTTACCTTGCCAGAGGATTTGACTCCCTTAAGGATGCACAGATAAACAATAGTCCAAGAAAGGAGCAGGCACAGACACAAGTTCCAGCGGATCCTCCCAGGATCCCCAATCCCTGAGCTTCCTTGGATGTGCAGGACATACCGGCTAGGGAGGAAGGAGAGCTGCTAGTGAGCATGGGCTGCCTTCTTCCAGAGGCCCTCTGACCCTAGAAATGCCTCTGCCTCAAAATGACTTTGCCAGCTATCACAGGCACTGGCAGCTCCTTGCCAAGCAAACAGGAGCACTTGGAGTGATTTCTCCACCATGTATTAAAGAGCCCAGAAGGGATGCCTGGCATCTCGAGAGCAAATTGCCAGCCATCCCAGACGTGGGATGCATTTTAGTCTAGCAAATCTCCAGGCCAACAAAGCAGTGCTAGAACATGGACACCTCCCACATCCCAGTGGCTAAACTGAGCTGTCACCCAGAGCTGAGCACGCGAGCCCATCGCTGCACCCACACCACCCCCCCGAGTGAGACCTGCAGCATCTGTGCTGTGAGCTGTGCACATCCTCACCCCCCATCCCCTCCCCATCCTGCCCCTGGCTAGATACCAACACACCCCCAGGCCTGGCTCGGGCTGCCCTCGGTACCTCCAGTACTCCTCGCTGGGGCTGACGGTGTTGCTGATGTTGACGGGGAGGGAGCTGTTCCCCGCCTTGAGGACGTGGTGGTCCAGGCACAGGTCAGTGTTCCACCAGTTGCCACAGTGCTGCCAGGGCAAGTCGCTTGTGAGGGATGCAAAGAGGTAGAAGAGAACGTAAGCAATGATCATATTGTAGTAAATGGCCACCAAGGAGACGATGAGGATCGTGCCCATGCCAACGCCTGAAGGAAGGAGAGGGTAAAGAAGGAGTGAGCTGGAGCAGAGCAAAGCACATCCAAAAGCAGGGTCAGACACTGCACCTCAGCAGCCAAATGATCAACCAGTCCAAGGTTCACCTGCTGGGGGAGCCGCTTATTGCCATTATAACATCTGGACATGCCTTCTCTGTATTGGTGATCTATTGCCTCATAGAAAAAACTTTACACCAGCCTGATGTTGAGAATGAAAGTATTTGATCTGAACTTTTTTTTCAAATGCTTTATTCTTACCTTTGTTTTTAACAGGTATTGGTTAGTTTTCATGCTCTATTTTGTACCAGAGCTGGCTTAATAATCTTCATACCATTTCTAGAGCTGGCCATGCCACCCAGAGCCCTCAAAGACTGACCAGTCTCACGCAGCTACTAAACCAGCTAACTCAAAATTCCAGCCTGCCACACCTTCCCCCAGGTTCTTTTGATTCTAACAAGAGCTTTGAGGACCATGGGCTGCTGCTGCTGGTGCATGTCCTCATCAAAGAGCTCTTGCAGAGGCCCCTCAGAGGCTCTGCACTTCACTCACGCACCTTTAAAGAGAGGGCTGATCTTCCAGACTGCAAGTGGCCCTAGGCTGGAGAACTGGCCAAGTGACAGCTCCATGAAGAAGATAGGGATCCCACAGATAGCCAGCATGATGAAGTAAGGAACCAAGAAAGCTCCTGCAAGAAGAAGGAAAAAAAAATTTAAAAAAAAGAAATCTTAAAAGTAATACAGAACAAACACCTAAAGCCTAACTGTGACAGGGAATAAAGCTCATTCAATATGTGTGGCTCTGAGGGATCTACATCAAAATCAGGAAGACAGGGAGGAGCAAGAGCTCTCTGTTAGTGCAGGAGAAAGGGGCTGTGATTCACCTGGTGCTGTGCTTCCCCACTGCTCCCAACTCTCTTTTCTCTTTGAATCTTTCACAAACACCATGAAATTCTCCAGTTATTATTGCTCTGGGAGGAGCTGAACCAACATTTTGCACCATCAACCAGGGCTCTTGCATTGCAAAAGGTTCACTCCCTCCTCTGATAGCTGGGAAGGGTTTGCTGACCCTGCTGAGTCCTGGAGGACACCAGGAGAGCTGGTGTTTTGTTCAGCATGGAGACAGGGGCTTGTCCAAGGCCAGGAATAGAGAGATGGGCTTGCAAATCCTTTCCACTCATGGATGCAGGTGGTTAAAGCCCTAAACAACCATGGGGAGGGGAGGAGGAGGCTTCACCCCACAACAAGTGCTACTGTCCAGCCCCAGGAAGGGGAAGGGATGTTTCTTCAGGGATATTCTACCAGCCCAGGTCAGTGGGTGGGAGAGTGACCACTGCAAAGGATGCTCAAGTACCTCCTCCATTGGTGTAAGCCCTGTAGGGGAACCTCCAGACGTTTCCAAGGCCCACGCAGTATCCGATGCAGGAGAGGAGGAAATCCAGCCGCCCTGTCCAGTTCCCTCTGTCCTCTGGGCACTCGGAGCCCAGGTCCCCATCCTGGCTGCTGGGGCTTACCAGGAGATCTGGTGGCACTGGCTGAGTGAGGGACCAGGGTATGGGAGAGGGCAGACATGGGTTGAACAAGGAATAAAAACAGAGAATGAAGGAGGGAAGAGAGGGAAGAAGTGCCAAGAACTCACGAGTGAATTTGTGACCCCAAGCCTTGACAGCATTGACACTTGTCCCCTGGGAACACCCTGTCCCAGCAGCTCTCTGTTCCCCACCTCAGCCACTGCCCTGCTCTGCCACTGAGCAACAAAAAGGATAAATGTGATCCCACATGGCCAGAGCTCCCCTGGGAAACATGGGATTGTCCCAGTTCGTTCTGGGAATCTTCACCAGGACCCAGCTCACAACCCCAGGTTCCAAAGACATCCTTTCAGGGGGCACAATAAACTTTCTGCACCTCCTGCAGAATACAGGCACGAGGGCAGTGGGAGAAGCACTGTGGTGTGCCAGGGAGCGTGACACCCAGCCCCACGTGTGTGCCCTGCCAGGCACTCCGCTGGCTGCCACTTATTGCTCCCTGCATTTTTCACACTTTTCCAACTGCCAAAAGCCTGCACTGTGGGAATTCAGTGATACTCCCAGTTGTCCCTGCAGAGAGATGAGAGACCTCCTTCTAGAATTCCTAATGTGCTCTGGATCAATGCAGCACAGGCAGGGCATTAATCCGTTCCCTTCCTCCCCACTTGCCTCAGCCCTGCAAGTGGAAGTGCGAATCCTGCAATCCCTTTGGGTTGGGGTGATGCACCAGGAGGGCACCTCTGTGTTTTTATGGGTGTACATCAGGTTGGCAGGGAGGTGCTCAGTCTGAATTCCCCCAGTTTCCTGACCTCAGGAGAGCAGGGAAAGCATCCCCACTGACTGCAGAGCTGAAGGCCTGAGCCAGCAGCTGCCAGATGAGATCCCATCACAGATACACCCACAGCAAGACCAGGCAGCACAAAGGGCTGGAATGAGGATCCTGTCCCTGTGCCACCCTGTGCTGCTGTGTCCTGGTGTGGGAGTTTGTCATGTTTCTGTCGAGGCACAGGAGGATTCTGGTGTCCCTGCTGACAAGGTACCAGGACCAGGGCCAGAGGAGCTCATATGGGAACCTTCTCTTCTTGGGCTCTCTGAAGAAAAAAAGCAGCCATCTCCCTGTCCTTGTTCGTAATTGTAGGGAACAAACCACAAATGTGGTTGAGGAGAGGGACGTGGGTGTGGAGGGATCAGCCAGAAGGAGCTGTGGGTCTCCTGTACCAGTGGGCAGCAGTGCTCAGAGCCTGCAGCAGAGCCCAGTCCCCAGGAGCCAGGGCTGGCTGGTGATCAGGGCTCAGTGCTGCCCTTTCACTGCCTCAGGGAAGGCAGCAGCCATCTCCTCTCCTCTCCTCCTCCTCGTCTCCAGCTGGACTGGACTGGAGGATGCTCCTGCTGCTGGTTCCCATGGAGACACCGAGCATGATGCCGAAGGAGAGGGCTGCCAGCTCCCCCCTGCGCAGGGTGCACCCCAAACCCCCAGCTGCTGGCACTGCAGACATGCTGCTTGCAGCCCAAAGGCACCAAACACAGAGACAAACTCCTCCCCATCCCCACCTGGAGCACAAACACCTCGAGGGACAGGACAAGGGCAAACTCTTCCCAAAGCCAACCTGAAATGTACAGCTCCAGCAAAGCTGTTAGACCAAAATCCTCTGTGAAAAGCCCACCCCTGCTGGATGCCACCATCACAAGGCAAGGGCCAGAAGAAAAAGTTGCAAAAACACAGGCTGAAAAGTCAAAGTATGACCCAAATGTGATCCTGTTGCTATAAAACCATCAGTACCTGGCAGCCCTCCTGCAGTGGTTCAGCACAGCCCTGTGGTTTAGCAACCTCCAGGCCATGGCCGTGCCTCCTGATTAGCCCAGCACACTCAGTGTGTGACCCACAGCTGTCTGTGCTTGCAGGGGATGCACAGGCTGCTCTGAACTCCCTCCCAAAGATTTCAGCAGCTCAAACCTGTACTCACAAAGCTCCCTGCCAAGTAGGGGCCATCACAGCTGGGTCTTCCCCCTGCAAAATACTGTTTGCCTGTCCATCACACTGGCTGGGGAGCTCTTGTTTTCCAGACTTGAATCACAGAAAACCAGCAAGCAGGGATGCTGGGAGATCATTAAATCCTGTTGCCTAATTCCTGCATCTCTGTCTGAATCCCAAACACCTGCAGGAGGGCACAGGTAGAGCTGCAAGATCTCATTACATGTGGCTGCCTGTCCATGAGATGTAGCACAGAAATCAACACAGAAGCAAAAACAGGAAATGAAAGGAACCAATGGGACCTTGTCCAAACTGTAAATGGCCTGGTCCCCTCCTCAGTCACCATTTCAAGGGCCATGGGATGTAGTTTGTCACTTGTGTCTCAATAATGACTGCCCCCCTTGTTAATATCTTTATCTAGAGCTCCACAGCTCAAATTTAGGACCCCAGAGCAGAAAGCAGAGACCACCCAAATGTGAGATAAACCCGAAGTACAATGGCACTTGTCCTCATTGGGCAAGCTGAGGAGATACAGGTGAGGGATGCTGCTGGAAAACACACACAAAAGCAGTTCCCTGACTGCAATGCTCAAAATTCCCCCAAATCCCAGCCTTTCCATAGAAATCATAGAAAAACAGGCCTATTTGCCTGACTTGAAATGAATTACAAAGCACAATATTTAAGGCTTCCAGCCCATCCTTGTCCCACATCGCAGAGGGAAGCACCTCCCTTCTCCTGACTGCTGGAAATCTCATACACCAGCTTGATTCTAGAGGTCTTATTTTAGGTTTAATGCTCTCTTTCAGCCTCTGTCATAACAGAAATTCTCTTTTCAGCAGCAGCTGAAGTGCTCCAGTGCTCCAGTATTGCTCTAGTGCTTTCCACCATCAGCTGCCTTCCTTCAGGCCGGGCTCCCGTCTCGCTGCTATAAACAGACAGGGACTAACAGCTCCCTTGGCAACCACGGCCTCTTTGAACACAGCATCCCTTCCCATTATTCACCAAAAGATGCTCCCAAAGAAGTCAGCAAAGCAAAGGTCGCCGAGAAGAAAAAGCACTTTAGTCTCTGCCAAGATAAGAGCTCGGGTCTGTAAGGAAACGGCTCTGTGCTAATTATTTTCTCTAAACCAATTTACTTAAACCAAAACTCAGCTGTATCTAAAGGAAAAAACTCCAGCCAGATCAAAGGTATGTTTTCATCCTCTTTTGTCTCCATTCAAGCTGGCATTGTGGGGTTATTTTGTCAGTGTTTTGTGCGTGATCACAGCCTTTGAGCAAGAGAAATGCCACCCGGTACCAGATTTCTCCCCTGTGGATCTGAGAACAGCGAGTCTCTAAAGTGTGAGTCACTTCAGATTAGTTTGAATTGCTTGCTAATCTCTGAGAGAAAAAAAAAAAACTTAAAAAGGCATAAAAATTAATTCAAATGTAATATGACTTACAAAGTGAAGTAAATAAAGCACTGCTATGGTGAGGAAGAGCCCCTCAAAGGGCTGAACTGAGCGTGGGTGACCCCAGCCCGGGGTCACAGCTGATGCCATCAGAGGGAGCAAGTGATGGCAGAGCCAGCACAGGGAGGCTGGAGATGGCTGAGGCTGAAGAAAACTCACTGCAGCAATGTCCAAAGTGTAGGGGGTATGCACGGATACAAATGCTTGTGGTTTTTCATCTGAAACCCTGGGGAGGTTTTGAGGCAGTTTGTGGAAGGCAGAGGAGAGCTGTGGCTCAGGTAGAAAGATGCTGCTCAGCAGCCTGGCCAGGTATGGGAAGGGACAGCAGGAACCATGGCCTCCACCAGTGGGATTTAGTCCATTTCTACCAAATAAACCCCAAAGAAAATAACCAAATAAATGAAAACAACACTCAGCTCTTCTGGAGCAAAAACCAACCTGAAATCCTTAGAGCCTGAGAAAGGTCTTCTCTAATCAAGAGCTATTTCCATGTGTCTTAAACATGTCTGGTAAGAAGAGCTTAAAACTCCAGCTCACCAATGGGAAATGGGTCACAATGAGAGGAAGAGGAGGCTGTCAGGTCCTGGGTGGGTGCTGCAGTGGGGATGGGCACACCTCTTCATCAGCCATCACCAGCTCCAGGCAAGCCCAATGCCAGCATTGAACACAGTGCTCCCAAGGTGGCTGTGAGCACCAGCTCCTCCATCTGGAGCTCAACAATGGTATTTTTGTATTTTTGGGTAATGAAGGACAGAGGGCTCTGAGCAGCACTGGGGATGGGGAAAATAACTCCAGAGACATCTGCTTTCCATCCCAACTGATCACCATGGGACTAAGTGAATTCCTGAATAAATGCTAAAGAAGGTCACCAGCATCAAGTGATTCAGAAAGGCATTGGAAGGGGCAAAGACCACTTTTAATGGATCTTGCAGTCACAAAGCCATCTGGAAAAGCAATTTGTAGGAAAGAGGAAGAAAGAGACGCCTCAAAACAAGAGTGGAGCAATAGGCTGTCATGGCCTGCTGGCTGTCACCAGGATACTGCTGGTTTTTTTTACGTCATTTCCCAATACCCTAGGAATTTCCTGTCAGGGATAAAACTCTCCTGGGTTTTCATTCATCTCAATAGAGTCAACCTGCCCTGTGTTCAGTGGGCATGGTTTGGCACAGGGTGTAGCTGAAGAGGCTCCCAGCCCTGGGTCACTGCCTGGGGTGCTCCAGGGAGGGCTGACCCGTTCAGCAGCAGCACATGCCCGTGATGGAGCTGTGGCTGACACTGTCTCTGCCACCCTGCTCCACCCTGTCCCCAGAGAGTCCCTTGCTCCACTGAGTCCCCAGACTCAGTCCCCGGTGTGGGGGGAAATGGGAGCTCAGACTGGCAAGAGCAAAGTGGCAATGGAGGGGAGCCTAGGATGGGAAAGCCTGACAGCTGGGTTAAAAAAGGGTTTCCAGCAGGATGTAAAAAAAGGGTTTGCTATTCTGCCAGCTCTGCTCTGAACCCAGAGTTCAGCATCCAGCTGACCCCACATCACCCACACCCCTTTCAATCCTACGGAGGAGGATGAGGAGGAGGAGGATGAGGAGGCAATCCGAGCTGCAGGTGGGGAAGGCACTGCCCAGCCGCTGCGCTCATCCCGCGGGAGGGACCCCGAGCCCGGGCAGTGCCGGGGCTGCTGGCAGCGGCGTTCCCGGGGTGCCAGGCTGCGGGGAGCCAGCTCTGCCCCCGCTGCCACCCACGGCTCCCGGCCAGACACAACATGAGTCACCCACCGCCGGCAGCACCTGCTGCCCGGGGAGGGGAGGGGGCAGCGGCGCCTCCCGCTCAGGAGGAGCGCTGGGCCCAAATGCCCCATCCCGCTGCCCACCATCCCGCTTTGGCCCCGCGCACCAGCGCTATTCCCGAATATCCCGCTGAGCCCTGTCGGCTGCCCACGGAGGCTCCCGCGGACGGGATGCGGGGCCGTGGGCATCACTCCCCCGCTCTCACCCCGGGGTAATCCCTGCTTCCTCTCCCAGCCTGGGGTACCCTCGCTCCCGGCTGTCACCTGCCGGGGGTACCCCGGTCCCCTGCTCCTCTCCCTGGGGCACCCCCGCTCCCGGCTCTCACCTTCCGGAGATGCTGCTGCCGAACCTGCTTCATCCTGGACCCTGTTGCTATGCGCTCCCCGCTCCGACACTTTCCGTCTCGCTCCCTCCGGCGCTGGGGAGGGCGCAGGGGGAGCGGGGGGAGCGATGGCCGGCACGGAGGGGTGGGCACGCACCTGCCGCGGGGAGAGCCGGGGACGTGAGGAGCGAGGCTGAAGGAAAGGTTTGCCTGGAGTGGAGGATGGCTGCGTGCGGAGCAGGGAGGGAGGAGGGAGGTCTGTCTGTCAAAAGCACTCCTGGCGGGGAAAGGGGGGCTCCGGGACCTCAGACCCCCACCCGGGCAGCGAGGGACAACAGCTGCTGCCTCACTGCCGCCACAAATGCATCAGGTGTCCCTAGAGAAGGACCTGACCTTGCGGTCAGTATGTCACCGAGCACCCCATGTAGTGATGGCTGCAGATGCCAGAAGCTCACAGCACCTTCCTGTCCGGTTCTGAGATGATTTTCCTGTGCAGGACACAGCTGGAGCTTGAGCAGATGAGAAGTGATTGTTCCCCATGCTGCCTGAGCCCAGCCCTCAGGAGGGGAATGCCCAGGGGAGGGGGATGCTCCACAGCCACCAGTCCCTTTGGGTAGGACCAACACATCCCACCACACCGAGGGCAAGAGCAGTCCTTGGGCAGTGCCCAGGGTAAGCATCTGAGCCCAGCATATCATGGCCCCAGTGCTGGAGCACAGGTCACATCTCCAGGGTCCAGATGTCCCAGTTTGAGTCAGCAGTGGGATACTGGAGTCCCAGTGTCCAGGGGCCAGCATCTTGCTGGCTTTTCACCCTCATACTCAGTCAAATTCCCAATGAGGTGGCAGAGCTGGTCTGTGCCTTTTCCTCCCACTTTCATGGTGGAAATGGGAGAAAGAACAACCCCACATGCTCCAGGGCCAGTGTGGGACCAGGACAGCTCTGGACTCCCAGTGGGACTCTTTCCCATGATAATATCCACTTGTTCATCACTTCATCTCTGGACTGTGCCCAGTGCTCTGATACTGGATGTGTCCCTTTTCCTTGCAAGTGCCCTACAGGCTCCAGCCTGAGCCATACTTCTGCCCAGATGCTTTACTGAGGCTTAAGGTGAGTGGGGATGAGGAGGACAATGACAGGGCTGGAACAGAGAGAACCCAGCCTGACTGATATAAGAGCAAATATCGAGGACATCTAATGGCAGTTGTGCTTCTACAGTCCTCTAAGCACTTCTGAAAATTTTCCCTGAAAGGAAAGGTATTCTCAGCATAAAGACACATTTCTGCAGGAATCCAATATGATGAAGTGGCTCAGCATTTGCACAATGGGTCTTTTAGAGCTAATATTTACCTGGATTTCCCAGAGAAAAAAGGAAAGAGCAAAACTAGATAACCCATCAAACATCTCTTTTCACACACTCACAGCTTCCTCAAAAAGAAAAGTATCTTTGAGAATTCACTCAGGCTGGTTTTACCTGCCTTGGACTTGCCCCCCACTTCTCCCTCTCCCAGCTGCTGGCTGGGGATGCTGAGCCTGGAGCTGGCCAGGCTGATGGCCAGGGGCTGCATCAAGCACTGCTCCTACCTCAGCCTTCATGCAGGGCAGGGATGCTTTGTTTGCCTTTCATGCCAGTGCAACCTGAATCAGAGAGCCTGTGCCACCTCACTACAGCTGTCCCAGCCCCACCTCACCGGCATGGGCTGATCTCTGCCAAACCACTCAGCATCCCTGGGCAGACTTCATGGCCTCACCTTCTTGTGCCCAGGGCAGCATTTTTCATTAGAGACACCCAGGCCTGATGGTGCCCTGAAATGTCCATGTTGATACCAATTCTTCTGGGATGCTCTGTACCTGGAACTTGCTCTCCTGGTTTGTCTGGTGCTGCTCTGGTAGCACCAGGAGCTCTTCATGGCCTGGGATCACCAGGGAGTAGGTGTCCCACCCCAGGGACCTGGGATGCTTCAGCTTAGCGTTGCAGGGCTGGACCAAGTCTGGCATTGCCCTGGAGTTGGCAAGAAATGCACTTCATGGAACAGCACACAGCAGAGGCAGAAACAGCCAGAAGGAGCAGTGCAATCCAGGGACCCCCAAAACCCCAGGAGAGCACAAGGGTGTGCACAACTTTCCCCATGCCCTGATCTCCAAGGAGATGGCACTAGGTAGCACACACAGGGCTTGCAAGCATTTCCTAGCAAGTTTTGTTTTCTCCCACTCCACCTCTGAGCCACCCTGGCACACCAAGTAAACCTTTCCCTTCTCATGGGCCGGAGCACAGCACACATCCTCCACCCCAAAGCAGCACTGACAGCCACTGGCACTGCCGGCTCTTTGTGAATCTGGAGGGCAAGGAGAGGGCAGAACTCAGGCTGGGGAAACACCCTTGCCCACCCTGCCTGGGCAGCCCACACAGATCCGGGTGGCAGCCGCCTGGGAAGGGCTGAGAAGGCGGCTGGCAGCGGGATGGGACCGTGCCCAGATCCGCGCCGCAGACGCGAGGAAGGCGGCAAGGCAGCGGCGCTCTGGTTAGTCACTGCTGGGACGTGTGCCATGCTGGAGGCTGCTGGCAGCACATCTCTGCTCGGCCACATGCTGTGCGTGGCCTTAGTTTAATGATGGTTTCAAGATTTCTCCAAGGAGGGGTAAAGCTGGGCAGTAGGAGCTGACGGAAAGTGCAGAGGGAGGAGCACAGAGAAACTGTGGGAACTTGCAGAGGACAACCCTGGCTACAAGGGCAGGCTGTTCCCATAAGGGCCAGGCTCCATGTGCGACATGTGACTAGGGAGGCAGCTGTTGCAGGTGCTAGAACCAGGTGTTTGTCACCTGCCAGGGGTGAAACCACCAAGGTGACACGTGTCCAGGAGGTTTGAACCAAAGGTTCCAAAGCTGGTGGGGACACGGTGTCCACCAGCCCCTTTCCTGGCACAGGGAGGGCCCTGCAAGGTTCACCCATCCCTGCCCAAACGGCAGATGCAGGGCGCAGGGGAGGACATGGGAGGGGGAACAGAGCAGATGCATTTCGTCACCCGGTCAAGGGGCGTGTGTGTGTGTAGGGGGAAGGGGTGGCTGGGTGTGTGGGTGCATTTATTGCCTCTTCCCGCCAGCGCCGGCTCCCTGTGCACACACGGGTGGCAGGGACCCAAGGGCACAGCCCACGGCTCCCTGGACTTTTACCCTGCTGTGCAAACAGGCAGGCGCCAGATTAGGGTATCAGTTGGAATTTCATCTTGTCAACAGCACCCACAGCCTCTCTGAGCAGGCAGTGGAGCATCTTCCCTCTGTCCCAGCCCCTCACCTCCCTGCAGCCCACCCAACACTGCAGGTGAATTTGGGAGATGCACATTTGTCCCCCACCAGGACTCTGTTCCCCTCCCCACTGCTGTCTGCAGGCTCCCCCTTGCAGACAACAGTGATGCCCAGTGCTGCCATCAGCCCATCCCTGCCAGGGCAGGACCCCGCTGCTGGTCTCCACGTGGCAATGGCAAAATTGGGCATTAAAGGCAGCCAAAGCCCAGGGAGGGAGGAGGAGTGTGTGGGAGCCAGCCCCCACCATGGGGACCATGCTGGATTCTGCACACAGAAGCAGCTCCAGTTTCCCCAGTCCAGCCCAGCTCTTCAGGCAGGTGGCAGATTCAGTCTCATCCCTTTCCTGTACAGCACCAGCTCCATTGCATTTGCATCCCTCTGCCTGCTTTAGTTCCTGATTCCCCATGTTTCCTTGCAGGAGTGCATGAAGTGTTTCTCCTGTGCCATGGGCAGCCTGGCACCATGTTGGAGAGTGCAGGGTCACCAGGGTGCAGCAGTAGGTGCAGCAGTAGGTGCAGCAGTAGGTGCAGCCTCTGTTGCAATTGCAGGAACAAACACTTTGCTCTGTCTCTCTCTTGGCAATGCCACCTCATCCTGTTCCCAATCCTCCATCTCCTCCACCCACGAGGACTTTATCCTGCTTCAGGTGTCCTTCCACAGCCAGCTGCCCTGCCCTGGCACCTCAACACACCCCATGCAACGCTTGGCACTGGGAAGAGCTTTGGGGCTGGAGGAGCCATTTGGGGCAGGGATTTGAGGGCAGCTGCTTGCTCAGTGTTCTGCTAGATGAGGGGAACACTGATGGGATGGAGAGGGGAGAGTGTCAGGCACCAATGCCAGCTGTCCCAGGCACTATCTCACATCCTCATTCTCTGTTTGTTCATCTTGGACAAGGAGGATATTCAGCCCATCGACAGCCATAAAATGAGATTAGAGACCAGGAGGCGCCAAGGGGAGGCGGCCACATCCGTGGGCAGCTGGCCTTGTTCTTTGGCCTCTGCCAGCCCAACAATGGCCTCACCCTCTCCCCTCTGTCTCCAGCGCTGCGAGTTTGCAGCCATCGTGTCTGCCATCCCTCTTGGTGCCAAAGGAATGAGACGTGGCAGTGATATGAGCCACGCCACTGCCAGCAGTGTCCCTGTGGGACAGGCACACTCTGTGCTACAGGGACAAGGCTGCTGCCCCAGAACACCTTCCCAACCCTGGCTGTGCCCAGGAGCATCAGCACCAGTGCGACCCCGAAGCCACCATCGTCCCCTGCCACAGCACCACGGGCAGGAATGACAGCCACAAACCTGTGTCACACAGGATCCCTGCTTGGTTTTATTTTCACCAAAGCCTAAAAAATAAAAAGGAAAACCAGTTCTGCCTTATATACACAAAAACTGAGCTGAAGTCCTGAGTTGATGCAAACATTTGTCCTCATCACCGAGCGCACCTGGCAACAGAGGCCGTGGGAAGTGTCACTGGCAGGAGGGAGACCCAGAGCCTTTGAGGGCTGGAGCAGAGCAGTGCACACAGTGGGATAACAGGGACAGACTTGTAAAAGCCACAGCACACCTGGGGACTTTGTGTTCTGGGGTCTAGGAGTGATGGGGACTGGCAGTGGACAGTGTGGCCAAGGGATGTGAGGCAGCAGCAGTGCCAGGTGGGATGTGAGGGTTTCACGGGGTGGTCTTCAGGCAGCAGGGACATGTCTACTGCTCCATCCTCCCAGAGCTTGGAGAGAAAATGCTGAGAAA